ACTAAATTTTGGTTTTTTACTACTTATTTTTGTCTAGATTTTTCCATAACATGCAGTACATGAACACTAAGTAGAGAATATGGCTTTCCCACGACTGATAGCTACCTTAATTTACGTAGGCTTTTGTGTATCAGGGACAATTCAAGTCTAGAAAAAGACACTTGAGATCTTTAATCTATTTTACAAAAAGGATAGATTCAGCCAAGAATTTATTGTAGAATATAAACATTATCATTGAACGTGTTCTACTTGTTTAGAATAAAACAATAAAAAAGGACATGCTCAGTTTAGCTGTAGATGCAGTCATTTTCTTTTTCTTGAGAAATCATTTTCTTCAAGCATTAGTACTGCTTCTTTACTAAAAACTAAGACATTAGATGCTGTCACAGACAGAATTCTGTAGAAAATCGTTTCTATCATAAGATACTCCCCTTGCAGCAGGGTTCCAAAAGAAAAGAAGTCAAAATCAACGTGTTATACTAAATAAAGATGCCTCTAGCATTCCAGCACTGTAACACTACTTGTAGTCACAATTTCTTATATGACTATTTTAATAGATTAAGGCAAAAGCTACTGATGGACTCACTTCCCATTCCAGCCTATGCCTCTGACTTGCACACACTTCTATAACCTGTGTCCTCAAGTACCAGTAGATACATTTCCTATTTGTAAATGTAATGTAATTTGAACATACTTATGGTTGTTGGTTTTTTTTATTTCTTTCTTTTTAAAAAACCACAGAATGACTTTCATTCTCCTGTTTTTGCCACTGACCACTTGCCTTCCTGGAATCAAATCCATTGAATAATTCATACACTGAAAAATAATCTGCATAACTGCATCTAGTTAAGCTAAACAAACCACCTGTCCAAACGAAAGGGTCCCATCACACTGCAGGTATTTGATCTCCAGAAGCAGATGGGAGACTGACAAGGTGATAAACTGCTTTTATTCAGCCTTTGTCTAAACATGCAAATTGTAAATAGCTTGCACAAATACACACTGCAGCACTCCTTAAAAAAAAGGCACAATCTCATATGGCTGCAAGGTGTGACCTTCATTAACATTCTCCCATTTGGTTTTATTCTAGAAGTGCATCATTATACAGAAGCCAGAGAACTCAGCTTACAACACACCAACTTGGCTCCATCTCCAAGGGCAGATCACTTCCATGTAAATCAAATAGACACAATGCAGTTACAGGAAAGCAAGGCACATTTTGGCTATGAGAAAGTATTCCTTCCCTGCACAAGTACATGAGAACATTAAGAGTCAACACTTACAATGCCTTTTTTAATGTACTTAAACAGCCTTTTAATCTAAAATATGAGTAATACGGTAAGAGCACAGCCTCATGATCTGAATTCCTATAGGCAGCATTAAACCCACTCATCCTATTTTTGTTTTCCTTACACAGCAAAGTTGGCAAGAAGAAAATTTCAAGACCTCCTCCTGGATTGGTTTTAATTTTGGTCTGAGCTCATAAGGCTGTTCAACACTTCTGAAAGTCCCACAGACTTCTTCAAAACTCTCAGCATCCTACCATGAACTGATTCTCTCTCTCTTCTTTTAGAGCACAAACAGCAAAAGTTCTTTGTGAAAGTAAATACTAAATAAATTATACCCATTAGAAATTGTACTGTTTCTAAAATAGCGTATGCACAAAACCTTTACATCTCTGAGAAGCCATTAATAATTTAAGTAGGAGGGTCTACTAAATGCCAGCCACTGATGATTAGATGTGATCAGATTACAGTTGTGCCCTTGTGCTCCTTTTATGAAAATTAAACTATATTCTAAAATTTTCAGGAACCTTGAGGTCAAAATAAAGTTGGACTTGAGCTGTAAGTTTTCAATAGAGAAATACATTTTAAACAAAATTTAATTGCATGAAAATCCTCCAGCATTAAAAATGGAAAGGGCAATTACAGCACACCTATTTGATCAATTCCTCAGCACTCAGGAACAACCAAACAAGGCACGAAGCATGCCAAAACTTACACAACTTTCCAAAATCAAGGAGTAATTTTTTTTTGGTGGAAAAAGCAATCAGAGCACACAGAAGAGCCTCCTTCCTATCGCATTACACCAGCAACTTTGTTCATGTACCAAATGTCCAAGCACCACCTCTGTCAAATTTCACAGGCCACGACTTAAAACTTCTTTTAACAGAGCAAAATTTTAGAGATACAAATCAAAACATCACAACCAACCTGACAGTGGGAGCGAAAGCATTCAAGCTCAATTATGATCTGACTTTTGGGCGGCCCTACGTAGAGCCAGGAGCTGAAGTCAGTGACCCTTATGGGTCCTTTCCAACACAGGATATTCTATGATTCTCCTCAATACTCAGCAGCAATATGGGCCAACTGACTCACGTAGTCATTTACAACCTCGATTCCTACCACTTTCTTCTGATTAGTCTGAGGCATCATGGTGCCATTGTGATGTTGCCCAACAACTGTATGCACACCCCACGGCCCACCTGCACAGATGACACATGGGATTTACTCCACTTCTAGGCACTGCTGGGCAATTCCACTGTTGGTCTCATAAAATAACTCACAAGAGAATACTGAAGAGAACAGCCTTCCCTCCAAGTTACGTTCTGAACAAATAATCCTAGGAGAGCTTTACCCTCTTATCCTTACAGTAAATTACTTCTCCTGACTCAGAGCTTTAAGATTTCCTTGCTTTTTAAGTTAGTGTTGAAATATTTAATCACAGATTTGCTAGATTTAACCACTCAATCCAAGGTTTCCCAGAAACTTCCATGCCCCCAACAAGAGTTACAAGAGAATTTCCCTACGATGAACACGACTGGGAAAAAAAAAAAAAAAAAAAAATAGGATTTACTATGGATTTCCTCCCAGTAATCATTCATAGCTTGAGTTTAGCAATAAAGAAATCCATCATCATGGGCCTCCAGCACCATCTGGGAGACAAGGCTTTTGGCAGAGAAAAATGGAGCAGCAATTGCCCAACAGCACAAGAAATCAATGGCTTCCCTGCACAGGGGGAGCAACAGGCTGCTCCCACTGGCACAGGTCATTGATTTCCATTTCTGCCAGCAAAGCTGCTTTGCACACTCAGGGAACAAAGTTTCCACTACATCACAATGATGCACACTCCCTCTGAGAGACCCTGCCCCTACTAATGCAGCAGGCAGCAAACAATACAATTTGAGCATGACAGAAAGGGAAGAACTGTGAAGACACCTGCTTCTGGGTAGAGCAGTTAGGCACTGATGTTTCAGGCTGAAAGGCAGCTAATCAACGCCCCGTTTGAGGCTGGGGTTTAGGCTGTGAGGTAGGCAGCAAGTGCCCCAGTATATGCTGCTGATTTAAACTCAGCTCAAATCCCTGGACTTGAAAAAGTATTCAACTCCAACAACTTGTATGTCAGAAAAACCTGACGTTCCCTTCCTGCCCAGTAACAGAACAGTACTATTTATTCCTAGCAATTAGAGCTCTGAAACAGATGTAAAAGTACTTCCTGATTTTAAGTACAATCATACAGGAGAGTCTGGAATATGTGACAGTCATATCAAGACAGTGGCATCTCAACATAAGTTGAGAGCTTCCTCTGAAACACATTTTACCTTCGCCCCAAGTAAACATTTTGCCCCAGGTCTGAGTTCCCAGAGAAGCCACAGTAATGGGATTATTAAAAGCATATATGCAGTCATCAAGAACAGAACAACTGTCTGTAAATGGTGTCAGAGGTTACCAGTATAAAACAGCAGATGGAAGGGATTTCTGGTCAGTCCAGACTTGGCTCTGATTTGAACCAGTGCTCTGAATAAGCAGCTTGTCCATTAACCAGCATCTCTCAGATCAGAGGGCACTGCTGTACCTGTTTCCAGAGCTATGCCTGCATATTGACCCCAGTAGCCATACACATGTGAAGCTCACCACTGGATCTGCTGACAGAGTATTTACCTGAATCAAGCTTGTTTTGCAAGACATCTGCTGTTAGCTATGCTGTTAGCTGTATCTAGGCTCAATTATTCACAGATAATCTGTAAAGCAGTTGAAGTAGAAATACCTTAGTTTCTGTAGCAGTTCCTTAGTGAGCCCATTTACTCACTCTGCCCACATTCTATACCTATATTGTGTCTTCAGATTAAAAGGTTACATTTGAAAATTTAAGTATCTTCCTTATTTCTCTAGAGTCACCACTGCTCCAAATCAATTCAGGTCATGCTGAAATTAGTCTTGTCCTTCATCACGTTAACAGCTTCTCCAGTTTTGCTATAATTAATAAATGTTCGTAGATAAATTACAAATAAAGTGAAAGACAAAAAGAAGTAGGATTAGAGTTTAATATTGTTTTTCCTCGTCTCTTCCACCCTGAGTTCAATAAGCAGCCTCTCAAAAAACCTCACCATACCACACCACAATTTAATTAGTCAGCAGAGACACAGCTTGAAGGTATTTCATTGAACATGTTACCTACAAGAGAGTCCTTAACAGATATGGGCACCGTGCTTAACCCTATCTCATTTCCTGTGAAAGGGAAAAATCTCACATTTTATAAGCTTTTCAGCTTTCTCTCTGTTAAAGAGAGATTCAATTTGGCCATTCTGGAAAGCAGTAGGTCTGAATTTAGCATGATGGAATGTGTCTCCTTGCGTATCAATTGTACAGCTTATGGAAATGCAAATACAGTGACTCAAAACTGAAAGTTAACAGAACAAGATTCTTTAAAACAACATCCTTCATCCCAAACTTGCAGAATGCATAGCCAAAACCACATCATACTTTTGAATGACAGATTTAGAGCTATTATTTAATCACAAACAGCAAGACTATCATTGAGGCCAATAAATGCTTTATGGTATGTTCTTGAACTGATCACATATCTTACACAATAAACAGTAGAAGACCTGATTCCAGATCACTCCAGAGAAAGGTAATTTTCTACTTAAATACTATTATGTTCCTCCCAGAAAATTGCCTTTTCTTTATGTTGAGAATGATTATGAGGAAAATTCTTACCTGTTTTCCATCTAGTGTATACAAGCGCTTAACGACTCCCGAATCAAGCTTGATGGCATCAGTTATATCAGTAAGAACCTGTTCAAATGAATGTGCTGTCTTCTTGTTAAGCAGAATCCGGACTGCCTTCCGTGGTTTCACTCCACTTCTGATGATAGTGACTAGTTTAGGCCTAATGAAATCCTTATTTTCTTTTGTATCTGGAGTACCTCCTTTAGCAGTGGCAAGAGACGGCACTGAACGAGAAGTAGAAGTTGTCTTAACATTCACTGACCAGTTTGGGTTTACATTCTTCGTGTACTCCAGCTTCTTGAAGGGCTCTATTGAACCACACACATAGCTTTCCCCTGCAGAAACAAAAGTGCCAGACCAGCAAGTCAGATGGGAGGGAGAAAAAAAAAAAAAAAACAGGAAGAAAAAAATTATTTTTTTCTCAATTATTAAACATTTACTGTTATAACTCCTGATCTACAGTGTGTAAGGCATTGACTGATTTCAGCTGCTACAGACTAAGGTCTCTTCTAAGGAATCTTTTAAAGGACACTCATCAGCTGATCATTAAAGAAAATGCTGTCATGTACTGCTTGAAAGTAGTGGTTTTCTCTTTAGAAAGCACTACCAGAAGTGGGGACTGCTACCATCAATAAACAGTGTTCATATCTAATCACCTGTCCAGCTCCAGTCCATTTTCACAGTAGTCCACCAGCCTTCATGTTTCCAAGCAAAACAGCATGCCCCAGAAACTTCAGAGGAAATAGTATGCAACATTATCCAAAACTACAGGTTATACATTACTTTCAGTAAAAGGTTGGTGAAAACATCACAGGAAATTTTTCACATTTGATTATTTGAAGCTTTAAGTAAAATAAAACTAGAATATGTGTATTCAAATCTTATTATATTATTCTGTTGACTCAAGGTATTATAAAGGGGAAAAAGAAGGAAGAGGAATTACAGAGCTCCCCTCCCAACACAGTGGGAACCACAGCTTAAAGAAAACCATAGTTTAAGGAAAAAACTTGGTTATAGTTCAGATTTCTATTGGAACATTATCTACAATAAAGTATTTTCAGCATTCCCACATGCACATTTTCTGGCTACATGACGGTTCCCCAGAAACAGCATCAGCACATCTTTATTCCTTAATCCATTTCAGCTGCAGGCTGTTGTGAAAAAGGCACCTATTTGCGTGCTCCCAACCTCTCCCTTGTGCTTGTCTGAGAGACTGCAGTGCCAGATGCACTGGGTAAGTTGGACCAGCTTATTGATTTGATGGCACATAACAAAGACAATACTTTAACACTGCAACAAACTGATCCTGCACACTCTCCAGAAAAAAACTGCAACAACAAAAAAGCCACATTAAACAACATTAGAACAACCAAGACCACACCTTCTGGCAACATGTAGTTAAATTGGATTACAGATAAAGCAAAATCCTACCCACAGAAACATCTGAGATGTTTCATTTCTTCTGAGTTCAATAGTTCAGAAAAGATATTTATGTTTGTAGCTTATCCCAAGGTATCAAAAAAAAAAACAAAACAAAACAATCAAATGTAGTGAGATGTGAGATGTGCCTCCAATGTCAAACAGACTTTTCTTTACTATGAGAGTGGTGAGGTGCTGGCACAGGCTGCCCAGAGAGGCTGTGGATGCCCCAACCCTGGAGGTGTTCAAGGCCAGGTTGGATGGGGCCCTGGGCAGCCTGGTCTGGTATTAAATGGGGAGGTTGGTGGCCCTGCATGTGGCAGGGGGGTTGGAGATTCATTATCCTTGAGGTCTCTTCCAACCCTGGCCATTCTGTAATTCTGTGATTTTTGAAGGATCCTTACTCTAAGTAACGAGGATTCACTGTTTAATTATTGCAAAGGAGAACTTAGTTTTTGTTGTAGTTGCCAAAAGATTTCAGGGCCCTCAACTCCCCAGACAGCGCAGCGCACATCAATACAAAGAATGCCAGAACATATGTAAAATTACACAGTTAAAACTGGGAAGCGAACATGAAGGGGAACCTTCCTAATATTGCAGGATGCAAAAGAGCTCCCAGCTTTGTACTAGCAGAGTTGGCATGATGCTCAAAGGTGAAACTGTAATAGTATGCTGCACAGTGATTACCAGAAAGCTAGCTGAAGGACTCCAAGAAAAGACCAAGGAATTCGGAGAAACATGTGAAGATGGACTGCTGAGCAGAAAAGATAAATGCAATGACAGCGTAAGATCAAGCAAGAAGATTTTTGTTTTTCTCTTAGTGCTCTTTTAAAGCGGAGTGCAAAAAGCAGAATGGGAGATGAAACATTCCAATGTTTGCTAGTCAGTGTTTAACTTCAACTTTATCTGCACTCTGCAGAAACATCTTAAGTGTTAAGAAAGGAATCTAAGACAGAGTGCTTACACTAACCCTAAGACAAAGGTAAGCCCCTTCTAACCATGACAGAAAATGATATACATCTGCTAAGAGCAGAACAAAAAGGCTTAACAGCACTGATGATCCAGCAGCAATCAAACAAGACATGCTCTTTTATCCAAGTCCCAGTCCAATATTTTCAGCACTAGCTACTCCTTACTGCACGGACAGAATTCATCCACAACGACTTATCTTTACAAATTGTTGATTTTATAATACAATAATATTTTGTACAGGAAAAAAGTTAAAGGATCCTACTATGATATGAATAGGACTGTCCTCAATATGATAGTAACTGCTGTATAAAATACGTGGCCAAAAATCATAGATCTTCAAAAAATTTTCATTTTCTTGAGAGGCACTTTTGGTTCACTTTCTTGAAAGGACAGCATTCCACATGACTTCTAATATCTTCTTTATGTCAAGGTTAGCAGGCTTTTTTGTAATGTATAACAGCATGTCAGCTCTTAGCTACAAAACTAATTTCGTGTAAATGATCATAAAGCACTCATTGAAGCTGTGGGATTGTTTTAACATCAGACTGTTTTCCCCTTCTTCATTTCCAACCAAGCTATATTACACCACTAAGATATCTGCACCTAAGGGAAAAATATCTTTTTCACTTGAAGAAGCTCAAGTTTGGATACACAATGTCTTAGAGATTGAGTATCCAAATCATTGTAAGATTAAATCAGTAGTAATAGCTATTTTATACAAGAAAAAAAAAATGAGACCTTTCCCATCATGTTGCAATTTAAGATTGCTTAAGCCTCCAAGACTGTCTGAAGCATAAGAAAACTTGCAGTAAGTTGGCCTGGGACTGCAGCTGTCATTTGTGGGTGTTCCTAAGGGACCTGACAGAACACAAACTGAATAGGAAATAACCCATAGTCCTAAAAAGTATCTCATCTCAAACTGATGAAATTATGGTTTAAGGTGATAATTAGCAAATCTTGAGTACTCTTGATCCTTGGAACACTTAAGTACAAGCTTAAATTTCCTGATGTTGGGACCCATGTTGATGGGAGCAAGAAATTTCAATATCTAGAATAATCCTTCAGCATTCATGCTGCTTACATATAGAGGAAACATCAATATAAAGGACAAAAAGCCTCCACCTTAGTTTTCATCCTCTCTTCGTAGTTACCTAAAGAAGAGAAGACTGCAAAGAAGTTTCCTAGTGGGCACCAGTCCAGTAAAGCCAATTTGTGCATTTACTATTGCTTCCTCCAAAGTCTGTCCCAGATGCAGTAATGTGAAGCCTGGGAGATCTGTGATTCAACAACCTGAACTGGAGCCTGGAAGAAAGCAGGCTTGCTGTAGTTAAGAGAAGACAAAAACTAAACAAGTGATAATGCATTTATTTATTTTAATTTTTTTTTTGTAACCTTTAGCTGCTGTTGCTACAGGCAACAGCCTCACTGCAATTGAACCACTAGAGCCATTAAACACTGAAGGATATTCTCACAGGTCACAAAAGAACATCCTCGAGTGCTTCATGTAATAAAACCATATGCATGTATGCATAAACACATATGTATTACACATACAAATAACGGACACAGGGTGGCTGAAGAAGAGACATTGAATCACTCTGTCTGTAAGCACAGATACAAGTGTTTGATCCTCTCTTTTTTATTTGGACATTAGCAGTTAATTTGTTTTCTGGTAATGAGAATATTAGCAAACTGGAGAAAGACCAAGCCAATATATCTTAGAAAGAATGAGTCATAGTGCTTTTCTGTGCTAAAGGCAACCCAGCCTAAAATGGCTTCATACAGAAGCCAGTAGGTCATAGCTGAAAACCCTGGAGAAGCAACAGAATCAAGGAATCAGAGAAGAATACTTTCCATTCATTAGACAGCATGACTGTCAATTTATTGAATATCTTCTTGATTCCTTTAAAAGAGTAAAAACTATGAAAAGGAATTGGATTTGTTTAGCTTCGAAAAGAGAAGGCTTCAGGGAGACCTCATCGTGGCCCTTCAATATTTGAAGGGGGAATACATAAACAGGAGAGGGAACAGCTGTTCATGAGGGTGGATAGTGACAAGACAAGGGGGAATGGTTTTAAACTGAGATAGGGGAGGTTTAAGTTAGGTATTAGGAGGAAGTTTTTCTCACAGAGGTGGTGACACACTGGAACAGGTTGCCCAAGGAGGCTGTGGATGCCCCATCCCTGCAGGCACTCAAGGCCAGGCTGGATGTGGCTCTGGGCAGCCTGGCCTGGTGGTTGGTGACCCTGCACATAGCAGGGGGTTGAAATTCGATGATCATTGTGGTCCTTTTCAACCCAGCAATTGCACTCTTTGGCAGTGAGACATCCCAGTGAAGATGCTTAATGCAGCCATCATTCACTGCAGTTCGTTTCCCAGTGGACTGGAGGACAGTTTAAGAGAACAGGGAAGGGGACCAGTACCCCCAGCACAGAGCACAACAAGTACTTCTTCACTTTCATCTCCTTGGTTCTGTATAAGCAAAAGACAGGAAGAATCTCTCAGGGGATGCGACAAGGAATTCAGACTACCCCCCATCATGAAGAGCAGACTGCACAAGGAAGATGACCTGAACCAAATAAATTACTACTAGATGCTCCCAGATGTGTTAGTTCATAGAGCAATAACCTACTTAAACTATATTAGTGCTGCCTTGTCTTTCTTCAGTATCTGAAAAACCGCAACACTGCAAATGAGACGGGACATCGATAGGAAATACACCTCATCTGCCCATGTTCACCTACCAATCAGACACACCAAGAAACTTTAAATCAGGTCTCCTCAGATTTTTTGAGGGACTTTTTTGGCACGCAGGTATTTTTGCTCAGTCTGGCATCAAGAAAAAAATCTTTTTTTTTTCCTCTTTGTGATCTAAAGGAAAAAATAAAGCCATATTTCCATCCCATTTTGCCCCCCTTCTCCCTCCCATTTCCTCAATCTTGCC